CCTGTGTCCCCAGGCACCTCGGGCAGCTCGGTAACAGCACCTCCCGCCCCTGGACAGACATCTCCCAGACTCGGAAAGAAATCATGTTGAATTCATCTGTCTCCCGGAGCCACTGCCCCTACTCCACCCCCACTCTCGTTTGCATTTCACATAATTCTATCTCGTTTGAATTTGTTACACTTGTGTATTACGTTTGCTGTTCTAAAAAAATCATACAGAGGGGAAATAACCCCTTAGATGCATGCACGTTTCTTCCTAACTCCTGCTAGAGAGGCAAGAGCTCAGGAAAACATATTCCGGCAGGAAAACCAGAGGCCCTGTAGGCTACCCAGCCAGCATGCGGGGCCCACTGGACAGAATCCCTCTGCGGCCCGCTGGTCAGCGCCAGGTCAGCAGCAACGCAAGGAGGGGCGGAGCACAGCCACCCTGACCCTGTACTTTCACCTTCTGCACAAAGAAGCTATTTTAGGCCTCCGGAAGCTGGCCACGCTTGGTGTGATCAGGGGGAGGGAGAGAGAAAAAGAGAGAGGAGAGAGAGAGAGAGAGAGAGAGAGAGAGAGAGAGGAGAGTTGGAACTTTTCTGGAAGTTTTCCTGCCTCTTTCTCATCCAGGAATTGTTCAAAAACTATTTTAGCCCATGGTGGCCACCAACTGCATCACAAAGTACAGTCCTGTAAAAACCTCGTCCCTATCTCTTTTACCCTCAATGAAAGTCTTTGGACCCATCCGAGATGATCTTTTTCACAAGCATTGCCAGGGATAAACACAGGTAAACAGAGCACAGTCACACCTCGCTCTGCCCCCACCCCCTCCCAGCTGCGTGGGGTTCTCTTCTGTCTCCCTGTGTCTGCTATTTTCTTGTGAAGGATGTTCTTTAAAACTCACCGAGGACATGTTTTTATTGATTTTTAGAGAGAGAGGAAGGGCCAGAGCCATCGCTGCATTTGACCAGGGATCAAATCCACAATCTAGGTATGTGCCCCGACCGAGACTTGAACCCGCAACCCTTTGGTGTACAGAGCGGTGCTCCAACCAACGGAGCCACCCGGCCAGGGCTTGTTAAGGGTGTTCTTATTTTTCAGTAGAAATTTTCGAACAGTGGAGTTTTTGTAAATGACATTATGGGAAAAGGTTTCTTCACACCTCAAAGGCTGGGAGAAGGGGAAGTGTGAAAGCCTCAAGGCACAAGATGTGTGTTCTCTCCCTGCTCTGCCTCCGACTGGAGGTGTGACTTTTTTAAACAGCTCTGCCGAGGTATAACTGACACCCACCCCACCTCGCGTACTTTGTGTGGACAGTTTGGTACATGTTCATGTATGTGTACACCCGTGAAACGACATCCATGATCAAGACGGGGAGTGTAGCATGTCCCCCAAGAGCCTCCTGTGCCTTTGTGACCCCCCCCCCCTTGCTGGCCCCAGACAGCCACGGACCTGCTTTCTGTCACTATGAATGAGTTGGATGGGTGACTTTGATCAAGCTGCCTAGTCTCTGATTCTCTAGTTTCCTACTAATAATAAAAAAGTATCAGACTTGACGAATTCAAAAGTCTCCTCCCATTTTACACACCATATGACGTTAGTATTCTAAGCAGAATGAAAAGCTCAGTCCGCCAACGGCTGGCGGAGTGGGGCTCAGTGCTCCTGACAAAGCGCGGCCCCTCTGGACTGGGACCCCCGCATCCCCCCCCCACACACACACACACACACACGGGATTCCAGGTGACAGACATTCAAAAAAGCGTGGCTCAGTGGTGAAGCATCGACCCAGGAAGCAAGAGGTCAGGGTTTGATTCCCTGCCAGGGCATGTGCCCAGGTTGCGGGCTGATCCCCAGTAGGGGCCATGCAAGAGGCAGCAGATGGATGATGTTCCTCTCTCTATTTGCTCCCTTCCTCTCTCTCTAAAAATCAATAAAAAAATTTTTTTAAAATAAAAGAGCTGAACACTTCCATTGACATACCCCAACCAGTCCTGCCACAAGTGATCAGAGGGGGTGGGGGTGAAGGGCAAACAGACCCCACTTTGGGAGAAACCCCCCCAGGAAAATGGACTACTTGGTGCACCCCACCTGTGCACCCAGAGGCTTGCTGAAGTCTCTCCTTTTGTCAAACATGCTCGAAGGATGGTTACACTGAGGTCACTCCAGCTGAGGGCCCTGTACCATCGCTCAGATGCTCCCACTGCCTCCGTGGGGTGGTTCAGGCCCCTCCTCCCGCTTCCAGCGCCATCACCGCATTTGCGAGGGGCCCAGAGGGCAGCAGAGAGCAAGTGTCTTTCTTAAGGGATTTTCCAAAGTTCTGGCCCTTCTGCCTTTTCCTTTGGTTTTCCCAGGAATGGCCATGTCTGGAAGGGTACCGGAAGATGGCCCATACAGGAGGTGCAAAGAAAATAAGAACATTAACCCCTGCAAGAATTTCTTTACACATCCGTAACTTCCACTCTACTTAGATCAGTGGTTCTCAACCTTCTGGCCCTTTAAATACAGTTCCTCATGTTGTGACCCAACCATGAAATTATTTTCGTTGCTACTTCATAACTGTAATGTTGCTACTGTTATGAATCGTCATGTAAATATCTGATATGCAGGATGGTCTTAGGCGACCCCTGTGAAAGGGTCGTTCGACCGCCAAAGGGGTCGCGACCCACAGGTTGAGAACCGCTGATTTAGATGCTGTATTTGAAGATCTGCTATGCCCACATGCATTTCTCTTTGCTCCATGTGTGGATCTAATATTGCTTTCTCTCTCTTCTCTCTCTCTTTGATAGATAGATAGATGTCTGGTTATATCCCCTGAACCTTGGAAAAGCTAGTTCTGCCCCTTCCTTGCTCTCTTTATCTTCGGTAGACAACCCTTCTGAGTTCAAA